GAAACCTTTCACGTTTTCCTCTTTTCTGTCGAACGTCTTTTCTGAGTGGGCACTATTAGAAGAGCAACCAAGTCTTTATGAAGTGGGTTGGTCTTGTTTGCGGTATAAAGATACTGTGATCTTTTATGCTTACTACTTCGTGACATTTTGATGGATCTTAATAAAAGTATTGCCTGTTTATTAATTAATTTTTCCACCTTGGGACTTGGTCTTTCCCCTCGCACTGAGCTTCGCCCAACTCACACCATCTCCAGTGTTGTAAAGGGATGCAGGCGAACATCGCAGACCATTTCTGCAAAGAGGCAGATGTTTGGGGACCAGTGGTGTCACCCACTTTTGTGTGTCACTTAATGCAACACACACTCCCTGCATCCACCCATGAAGCCACTCCATTGACCTGGAAGCCACCAACAACTGCTGTCCGAAAGTTGCTGTTCAACAGGTTCAGCTGGAAATGAACTTGTTAAAGCTCAGACTCAAATCCCAAGAGGATTTCCTCCTTTCCCGGTCCTTTACATGTAAGCCACCAACTTTCTGTGCTTTATGGTCTTCATTGCATCCTTATTCAGCAGCCCTGGACTAAATTGCAGGTGAAGCTTAATCTAGTGGAGGAGAAGGAGGGGGAAAAACTGTAAAACTCTAAATAAGATGAAACCTACTGGCAAAAATTCGCTCGTATATCACTGAGCAAATGTGTTTTCCTCCAGATGTGGTTCTCACCAAGCTTGCTTTTTGGGAAAGGAGGGGCTCTCTTATTTAATAGAGAAGATTACAGAAAGAAAGCATCCCATCTTTCATTTCCTGCTATGAAAATGTGTCCTATCGCTCAGTGGAGATTTCTGAGATTAAAAAAAGGGGAGAACAAGCCACAACCTCTCTTGGGTGTTTTTCTTTGTGTTTCAAAGTCATCTCAAATATTTTACTATATCGGTAATGAAAAATGCATCGTTCGCCGCCTGCCGCACATGTTCACCATGGCAGGTGAGAAAAATCTGTAGCCCTTAGCCGATTTCATTTGTTTGCCGAAGAAGAGAAATTGGAGCCTGGTGCCAGTGGGGATGAAATGCAAAGGATGCCCATGCAATTGTATGTCTCTGTGTTGGGGAGAATGAGACGGAGATGGCGGGCTGGAAATTCCTGGACCAGGACTATGGTGTTTGGAGTGAAAGGCTGAGAGCACAGAGACTGGTTACAGAATCATAGAATAATGGAGTTGGAAGAGACCCAAGGGTCATGCAGTCCAACGCCCTTCTGCCATGCAGGAAGACACCATCAAAGTGCTTCCTGGGACAGATGGACATCCAGCCTCTGTTTGAAAACCTCCAAAGAAGGAGACTCTATCACAGTGTGAAGTCGTAGGCTTTCATGGCCGGCATCCATAGGTTTTTGTGGGTTTTTCGGGTTGTGTGGCCATGTTCTAGAAGGGTTTCTTTCTCCATCACACTCTGAGGCAGCATCTTTCATTGTTGAACAGCTCTTGCCATCAACAAATTCTTCCTAATGTTTAAGTGGAATCTCTTTTCCCGTAGTTTGCATCCATTGCTTAGTCTAGGTCCTAATCTCTGGAGCAGCAGAAAACAAGCTTGCTCCATCCTCCATATGTTGACACCCTTTCAAATATTTCGGATATATCAGAAAGAGACACAAATGGGCACATCAGCATACACATAGATAAGGTGGGATGTAAGCTTTTTTTTGGGGGGGAGTTCACATTCAAAATTAGCATCCATCTGCAATACGTCTAATTGCTGACGGACTGGCATGGGACCTTTAAAAAGCTTTCATCTCACACACAGTCCTTGGGAAAATGCCCTTTGCAAGCTTAACCTGGCTTTGCTTGTCATTCTCTTGCTAATATTAATAGCTGCCTTTTCAGCAGATGTGCTGCTGCCTTTTAAAGAATTTCTCAGCAGGCGGCAAATGATATGGAGAGGAGGAGAAAATGGAAACTCTATGAATGCTAAAGTATGGTAATGACAATGCAGAATTTCAAGTCAGAACAGGTGGGTTGGGAGGGATAAGGGTACATGACATACTTTGCTACATCTTGCATTATGTGTTCTTGGTAATCCAAGTTCAGCACTCTGTGCCTGGCATTCTGTTAAAGACATACAGCCTCTCAAGTCTGCCCCACATGACCAGTCCCTCCTTCATGGAGAGCAGCCTATGTGCTCATAGTCAGGTGCAAAAGGATCATTGCTGAATCCACCAG